ATCTCTCTCTCTCTCTCACACACACACACATTTTAAAAAATGAAATTTAATTGAATTATTATTCAATCATCAAATACATCAGTTATTTACCCCTGCCATGTAATTTTTACCCCCAAGGGGTAGATTTACCCCTGGTTGAGAATCACAGGATTAATGTCTGCCCATTGCGAATGATCTTAATTCTGATTGGCTCACAAAGGAATTTACCGACGTTGGACTGCCACGCCTACACTTTTCTGCTTCTTTGTTGGTCAAGCTTGATTTCGCAAAATTTATTAATTTCGATTAGCTATGTTTGTTTGTTTGAAGTTAAGCACAAAGCTACACAATGGGCTATTTGTGCTATGCCCACCACGGGTATCGAAACCCGGTTTCTAGCGTTGTAAGTCCTCAGTCATATACCGCTGTGGCACTGGGGGGCCAGTTAGCTATGAAATGTGAGGTTAGGGTTATATTATAGGGTGTGTGTGGTGGGGGGGGGGGTAGTACTTAGCCCGTCATATTTGACGTGCTCTACGCTAGTAACTTATAAAGTTAAAACTTGTTAGTACAAAGGCATGTCTTTTAAGTAGTATTTGACGTGCTCTACGCTAGTAACTTATAAAGTTAAACTTGTTAGTACAAAGGCATGTCTTTTAAGTAGTATTTGACGTGCTCTACGCTAGTAACTTATAAAGTTAAAACTTGTTAGTACAAAGGCATGTCTTTTAAGTAAGCTGATGTAGCAGATAACTAATTATCAAACTTCTTGTAGCAATTTAGTTATGAACGGTATCTGCTATAACTATAAGACGTTTGAAATATTTCGAAGTAAATCTTGATACTTTATGAAATATTGAAGTAACTGTAACGGAAATCGAGATGTGCCAGTCTGAGTTATGATAACTAATATACGTTTATTCCTATAAATATAATGAACAAAAACTGTTGATAATATGCCTATCTTTGAACTGCCCACTGGTAGGTAGCTCAGCGATAAGTCTGAGAGCATATAATGCTAAAAATAAGATTTCGATACCCGCGATGGGCAGATTGAAAATAGCTCATTGTGTAGCTTTGAGCTTATCAACAAACAAAAATATAGTGTTTTTAGACTTCTCGCTTGAACTACGCTTTTTTTATTATTATTTCAACGTGTTTTCCTGTGGTTAATAATGCAGAATAGAAAATTAAGTTTCTTTTCTGCATATCCCACGAATACATATCGCTTCCTGTATCATAACCATAACATTTTGACACCTTAAGCAAAACTTGAAAGTATATGCTGTCCCTCTCCTTCTGGAGGCATGCCTATCACCATTAGAATACAGTAATTTTTGGAAAACATCATGTTATTCTTAACTGAAGCTATGTGTACGACTTTCAGCTACGTGATGCCTTCAGTCACTGCTTCCAGCTTCCTTTATTTATTTATTTTCGTACGGCTTTCAGCTACGTGATGCCTTCAGTCACTGCTTCCAGCTTCCTTTATTTATTTATTTTCGTTTTTTATTTACTTATTTTTATTTTTTATTTATTTATTTTTATTTATTTTTTTTGTCGCGTTCAATCTCACTTTCTTTCTTTTTCAGTTTTCTTGATTTTTCTTACGTTGATCTTGAAAGTCACTGGCAGAGTTACAAATAGTAACAAAGCAGCATACAAATTAGAAGAAACAGCTTATTATTCGATTAATAAACCAACAAATTTTATAGTCCAGGTTGCTTTTAAATTTAAAATAAAGTTCAAATACACCATTACGAAACAACACCGAATTTTAAGGATACAAGTTTCGAAACTTTTACGGTCCTCTTCAGTTTAACGAGATCCAAAGGTTGCAAAACTTCATCACATCTGAAGGTCGCTAGCTGAACCTCTTTCTGACGTCATATGACTTAAAACTTCCGTTGTGGAATAAACAGGGTATGTGTTTCTGTAACAAACAAACGTTAGAATGAAGGGGACACGTAAAAGTATCGAAACTTGTACTCTTATAAATTTGGTATTGTTCCGTAATTGTGGATTTAAATTTTATTTTAGATTACACGGTATTATGTATTTATTTGCTATTACAATTTTCCTGGAGTAACGTTGAACAAAACAAGAGTAGTTGCATAAGGAAAACTAGAAATAGATCACTTGGATATTGTTGGCACAGTACTTTTGTGGCTTCTTGGCCCTTAGCACTACCTATTTTGGCTAGCTCACGAACAGCGAATTTGTGTGCAACGAATTCAACCTTTAAAATGTTAAGTCAAGTTGTGCAACGACACAGTCACACGTAGTACTGAATCCTGTTACTTTAATTAAAGCGCTTTTCACAATCCTTCTGTGTTTGGTCTTCAGAAAATTCTCCAAAGTGACATTTTATTAGATCTACAGGCTTTCTTTACAAACATTCTAATTATGTTGGGCAAGGGTGATAACATCATTTTTGGCCTTATTCAGCTTGTATAAATAATTAGTTGACTTTTTTGGCGCATATCGAAGGTAATGAGTGGCTTTAATAAGTAGTTTAGAATCCACCTTCTCTGCATTAAGAATCTTTGTCAAAACCACAACTAGTATCACGAACTCGAATTTCCCCAATTCTTCTTTAGCGCGTTCACCCTTTTTCTTACTTTTAAAGATATATTAATCAAAGTTTTCTCGATGTCAATATTGTATAAGTTCCTACCCATCAAAGAATTCAGTCGCCAGTCCACCGAATGAGATTCAATTTCCTTTTACTGACTCGTGATTCGCTCATAATTAAATGTTTTGGCCTAGAAACACATGAAGTTTCTGAAGCATTGCAAAAAGAGAAAAAGCATTTACTTCTGAATCTCCTTTAAAGCATCATCGATCACAAGATTCAAGTTATATACAGCACAATGTATGCACTGTATATATATAGTTCCTTGTATTGGTTGATTGTTTGTAGTTAAGCACAAAGCTACACAAAGGACTATCTGTGCTCTGCCCACCACGGGTATCGAAACCCGGTTCAAGAGTATTCTACTTATAGTAGCGGAACTCTCTTATTATTGATCAAGACATTTTCAAGGACGGAGGATTTTCCCCAATAATGGTATGGATTTTGGTTTCAATGCTAGTGAAGATATACGTGGCAATATACGTAATGGAATACTAATGATCTTGCACCTTCTGCAACAGGCCATTTCAGCCACATACTTTCTTTGACTACGATTGATATTATGCACTATTACTTTTATTTGTGAAAAGTCAACAGAATTTTTTAAAATGTACAGTTCATTTTTGGAAAATATAATAACCACGTAGTCGATTATTATTACTTGTAATTAAGCACAAAGCTACACAAAGGGCTATCTGTGCTCTGCCCACCACGGGTATCGAAACCCGGATTCTAGCGTTGTAACTCCATAGACATACCGCTGTGCCACTGGGGGTCACGTAGTTGATAGCGTTTTAGTTTTGACTTGGCCATGGTACTGTAGGAGTTTTTAGAAAACATCATTTTTGTTGTTGTTTATGTCAAAAAACAAACACTTTGGTTTGAAGTATCTGTGTTTGATGCTAGTGTCTTCAGTATTTAAAAAAAAACTGCTCTAATTGTAAGGTATATAATAGTAATGTATGTTTTACCAGATTTTCTTTATTGTCAAGTTTAGGTATTATTTTATTTAAACATCAGAGTATCCAAAATAGAGTGATGCATTTGGCTAAACATACAGGTTAAGTATTGTTTGGTGGGTTTATTTGAATTATTTGATAGAGAGAAGATTGTAAAATCCAGTCCATTAAATGACGACAAATGCATTTTACTTCTTTAACTGAGTTCTACAGTTAATTTAAATGATAGGCTTAAGTTCAAAGAAGACGATAATAAAACTTTTCACATACTTGTTAATTTCTCATTTTCTACAAAAATTATAGTGTATCTCTTACTCCATCTACGATAACTCAAATAGACTCAATAATTAATATTTGCCTATAATAACTTAACTTGCATTTTATACAATTCAAACTCTTCTAAGACATTTTGGAGGAAATTCCAGGTGTCAAACCTCACCCTAAGGGCAGTGTGATTCAGTGGCTTCATGCTTTGGACTCGTAGTTGAATGGTTACTAGTTCGAAGCTGGCTCAAGGCATACTATCGTGTCCTTAACCAAGACGATTTGCTCCAATTATTTCAGCATGCCTAGTTGTATGATGGATACCAGTTGTTTGCTGAAGATTAATCCGTGACTGACTGACATACCATTCAGGGGAAAATGTGCCACCATTCTCATCAGCTTGTACCAGTTAAGCCGCAGTTCAGCACCAGATCCTGTATGCCATCTTATTATGGGACGGATTTGACCTTTTGAACATCCCTCTGGCCATTAGTTATTGTCTTTGCTAGTGTATCAACTAATGAATAACATTGGAAGTACTTGACAGTGACAATTATATATCAATTACTTTTCACAATCTCTTGGAGTGGACCAGCAACAACTAGGGCTATCCTCTGCAGAGGAGACCCAGCAGTTCTCTGTTAGAGTTTACTATGTCTCAGATAGTTCTTTCTCTTGGTGACACACACTGTAGAGTGCTCACACCAGTGCTGAATATCTCATCTTATTTGCAGCCAGAGGAGTTTCCATCAAGTGCTAATATAAGTGCGAGTTTCATTTTGGTGCCTTCCAATTCTTGTGTTGTGCAACTACCAGAAAACTCCTTGCTGCAGAACTCTTGGAACCATTAATTCCAACACAGTAGAGAACTACATCTCGATAATTTATGGCAACAGTACAGCACATCTTCCTGCACTTGTTGCATATGTGCCACAAGTTACATATGCCCTTACTACACTCCTCTACTGGTGGTGGTTGGGTTTCACCTTGCTGGACACTAAGGAGCCCTAACTAGGTCAGGGTTCTTCATATGCTCATCTCTGATCTTCTGAAGGGTTAACTTTAGCATCCATCCATCAGTGGAGTCTTATACTTGAAAATTTCCGATTGCTTTGCAGTTACAACATTTTAAAAGCAGAGACAGTCTCACCATGCAGTGAGATAATCCATCTGCATTTCAGTGTTGCGTTTACCTGGTGATGAGCTTTGACAATGTCATATTCCTGCAATGTTATTAAAATATACTATCATCCCTTTTGGATTTTTAAAGTTTACTAGTCACTTCAACAAAGCATGGTCTTCTCAGAGGGTGAGCTTCCAACCATACAAGTAGTGACAATAGTGTTTCATAAAGACTGCAAGTGCAAGCAGCTCTTTTTTCATCGTGCAATATCTGCATTTGGTAGCCATTAGCATGTGACTATCATACATGATTACACATTCTACTCCATACTGCAATTGCAATAACACTATTCCAACTCTATTGACGAGCTACTCGGAGTAGTTCATTATACAGCCTTGTTTGCCTTCAGGTATCACAATCTACTGTTGGGGTTGTGGGAGAAACTTTCAATTCGGAAAGCCACTTCACCCTATGTTTCAAGGTTTTCTATCATGTGGCCTATTGCTTTATCTACTAGGGAAACAACTCTGACTGGCAAAGGTCATCCTCCAATGGTACATCCAGCCTTTCTTCAGTGGTCACTGGTGGTCTGAACCAGAGCTTGGACTATGGTGTTCTGGCTGTTGAAAGCATAAAAGTCCTGTAGAGACATTCATATATGGTCTCGGACTCACCAGGTGCCATTTGGGTGTTTCACACATAATCAAACTCCCCTGAGTCTGCAGTGCATCATGAGAAAAACTCTTATGTCCAGGAGAGAGCTTCTCCTAGATTCAAAAACTTCTTTTCTGCAGCCATCTCCTATTCCAGCAGTGAACTCTCCCTCTGGGACATCAGTACTTCTGTATTCAGAATAAATTATATTATTAATGAAAGTATTCCTTTAAGCTTTCAACAACTTGAGAGATAGACCTAAGGCTATTACACACATTAACAGAACAGAAATTCCAAAATAAACCCTATAACCATGACACCAAAATGTCTCTTTCCTATCTATTTGTGGCATTTTCAGGTAAAAGTGATTTCTGCACGAGCATAAGATAGGTCATAAGCATAAAGGTCAACCACAAAATTTGGGAGTATATCTGAAAAAATGGACTAAGCTTTAATCTTACATTAAAAATATAAAGATTGGACAAGTTTGAGAAAGTGAAGACAATTCTTATTCAGACCAAACAAGAAGGAAATGCACTGTGCAAAATTGCGCAAACAAAGAGACAATCACTTATACAAAATCATTGAGTAGGTCAATAGCTTTCCATGTCTCGAGATGAATCTCTGGCAAACTAGTTATGATCAAAAACTGAATAGAATTGAGAATGATTAGTTGCTCCGATTTTGGAAGAAAGCTCATATTTTTTCTCTTGTGAGTTCATGAGAAATTCATAATATTTTAAAGGTACAAAAGGAGTTTATTAGCCCATCAAGGATGTCCCTTCAAGCTCCCAACCATAACCACCCTTTACTACTCATGTATTCATCCAATCTTTTCTTGAACTCAGTAAAATTTTCTGCCTCAACCACCCTTGAAAGTAGCTCTTTCCAAAAGCCAACCACCCTGTTTGAAAAGTAATACTGTCTAAACTGCAGATGAATCCTATGCTGCCAAATTTGAATTTATGCCCCATTATCCTATTGTTTTTTACTGTTAAACACAAAAACGTTTGATGGATCTAAATTATCAATACCATTAATAATCTTAAACACTTCAATCAAATTCCCTCTGACCTTTCGCCTCTCCAGAGAAAACAAGTTTAGAGATTTTAGTCTCTACTTATAGGACAATCCCACCATACCATGTATCATCCTAGTGGCACTTCTATGAACCTTCTTCAACAATTCAATGTCCTTCTTGAGGAAGGGAGCCGAAAACTGTACACAGTACTCTAAATGAGGCCTTACAAGTGATCTATACAGTGAAACAATAAAATCCCTTGTCTTGTATCCAATATTTCTATAGATGCTACCCTAAATCCTATTATCCTTAAATGGTTTTTCAGTCATTTTACATCACCACATGACTGTTGTTCTCTTACAGCATTCACAGGCTGTAACATACAGACATTGTTCATTCAGCCAGCAAAGAACACTGCAGTCGCTGGCTCTTTTAACATTCCTTCGGGCATAATAGATACTATCTGCTATAGAGAAGAAAAGAAACAAAGCAAATAGAACAAGCCTAACTTCAATGGTTTTGTGGACCACGTGTTTGTGCTAAAAATGCATAGAAACTAGCTAAACGATGATTGAAAACTTCCATATTACTGAAAGCACGTATACAACATATTATATACCTGCATATCATACGTCTAATTTTATATCTACAACTGAGAATAGCATAAACATGATTTTCGAAGCTTCTTCCATTGCATATTGTTACGTCTCCGTTTGTTAATTAATTTTCCGTAACTTCATTCCAACGAAACTTTAGCGACACAAGTCCTTACTTAATAAAACTAATTTATTCTTTCCGAATATAACTTGATGATACACTTGATTTCAACATTCGCGCTAAAACAAACGCTATAACGACGAACGTGCTCAACTTCAATAACACTCGCTGACTGCAGATCAATTACTCACTGTCTACACACACATTATTCCGTCACGTTGTCACCCTCTTATATATATATACCAGACTACCCTATATCTAGTAATCTCCCGACAATTCACGAAGGTACAAGATATTTCCAGAAAACAGGGGGCGTGACACTAGTCACGTGACCTCGCTGACGCAACAATATTGACTAGTTTAGTGCCGAAAATATAGTCTTCTATAATCAAATAACTTTGGAAAAGGCAATGGTCTTTCACTAAAATCTTGACACAAACGGGCGAAATAACTCATTTTTAAATGATAATTTCTCTGTAAGAGATGAATTAATGTGCAACATGTTGTATTGTTAGAAAGCTTTTACATTAAGTTATTTTGAAAATCAATCTTAAACCGTTCTCTCATTTTTCCGAATATTGTGATTACAAAACCAGCCATTAATTTCGCTTACCAGTAATTCAGCCGTAACTCTGAAGGCTTATAACACTAAAAACGGGTTTCGATACCTGGGTGGGCACAGCACATATAGCCCCAT